GGAGAGAATAGGAATGGAGATTTGGGGGGGGAGAGAAGAGAATGGAAATTTGGGGGAAAGAGAAAGAGAATGGAAATTTGGGGGGGAGAGAGAGGAGGAATGGAGATTTAAGGGGAGGCGGAGAATAGAAAGATGGTGGAGGCGGAGGAATGAAAATGGTGGGGGGCGGAGGAATGGAATGGTGGGGAGAAGGCGGAGAATGGAGATGGTGGAGAGCAGAGGAATGGAGATGTAATTGGGAGGCCCGGAGGAATGGAGATGGTGGGGAGAGGCGGAGAATGGAGATGGTGGGGAAACAGAAGATAGAATGGTAAGGAAGACGCTAGTGGAATGGGGTGGTAGGGGAGATTGTGGAACGGGGTGGGCGGCTGGAGATTGTGGAATGGAGATGGAGGGGGTAGAACAGTGGAATGTGGTGGGGGGAGCGTAGTGGAATGGAGATATGCCCCACCCTTACTGTATTCTGTTTCCAGGCGGTGGTGCTGGTTCTCGAAGGCTCTGCCGAGGGACACGTTCTCATGGCTGTGAAGTTGTTGAAAGCTCTGTGGGAAAGTGGCCTCATTACATTGGACCAAATGAACCGGGTAATGTTTCATGTTCTGTTCTGTGCTGATGGCGGGTCTAGATGTAGGTCCTTAGCGTGTGAGTACTTAGTTCCTATGTTGTCTGTGTGCAGGGTTTCCAGAGAGTGTACAATGAGCTCCCTGATCTCAGTCTGGACGTGCCGTTGGCTCAAAGCGTAATGGAGAAATTGGTTGATCTGTGTTATAAGGAAGGAGTGATCACACAGCATCTGAGAGACCAGTGTCCTGGCAGGTGATGTTTGTCGATCAGAAAGGGTAAAAGAGGGTAATTGTCAGAGGGTAATTAGCTCCTGGTATCCTTGTTTGAGAGTAATTAGCTCCTCGTATCCTTGTGCGAGGGTAATTAGCTCCTGGTATCCTTGTCAGAGGAGAATTAGCTCATGCTATCCTTGTCAGAGGAGAATTAACTCATGCTATCCTTGTCAGAGGAGAATTAGCTCATGCTATCCTTGTCAGAGGAGAATTAGCTCATGCTATCCTTGTCAGAGGAGAATTAGCTCATGGTATCTGTGACGGACCCTCCGTCAATCGATGCTCCTAGTGCTTACCAAGGACCATCAGCACCACTGCAGACCCCACGAACTGCCGCAGCTTGGTTGGGGTCTTATCGACTCCTACCCACCCTGGACCTACGACAATGAGGTAACATGGACTACTGATATCAATCCTTCTACAGCAGGGCATGGAGGCTGAGTGGGGAGTGTACTGTAGCGGAGGCTGAGCGAGGGGGAGTGTACTGTAATGGAGGCTGAGCGAGGGGGAGTGTACTGTAACGGAGGCTGAGCGAGGGGGAGTGTACTGTAACGGAGGCTGAGCGAGGGGGAGTGTACTGTAACGGAGGCTGAGCGAAGGGGGAGTGTACTGTAACGGAGGCTAAGCGAGGAGAATTAGCTCATGGTATCTGTGACGGACCCTCCGTCAATCGATGCTCCTAGTGCTTACCAAGGACCATCAGCACCACTGCAGACCCCACGAACTGCCGCAGCTTGGTTGGGGTCTTATCGACTCCTACCCACCCTGGACCTACGACAAGGCTCCGGGCTCCAGTGAGTGAACCTCTATTCCTTCAGAGAGCGACACAGGAACACCTCTTAGAAGAGCTAGGGATTAGCATCCAGGGGAGTATACAGAGTATAGCAATCCCCAGTGTGATATAGCAGTACCCTACAACACGAGATGAGGCTGCGAGTTGAGGGTAAGAAGGTCTGAAGGTTTATTGAACAGCTTGAGTTTTTATACAGTTTTTACAGCAAAGGTGATGCCCAGGTGGACCTAGTTGTGCACCGAATACAAAACATACAAACCAATCAAAACAGAGGTTTACCTTCAGACACTCCCATACAGTGTACACAATTTTATGAAAGTCTCTTTTTGACCGACCGCAGGCATGATTTCATGCCCAAAATAGTTCTAGGAAATTAGGCTGTGGGGCTAGTCTATTTCCAATGGCTAAGTTCACTTCGAATGCACGAACGGGTGCTGTTCGTGCACAAAGTCCATGTTGAAGTGCCGTTTGAATTGACGAACGGCGTTCGACACCTGTCGAAGTCCCAGAGAAGGTAAAGTTTCAGCGGCATTCGTGCCATCACGTGTCCAATTGAGTTCCATGAACTCAACGACAAAACACTGATGAACGCGTTCAACTACATAAAATGGCTGTAGTGTACTTTGACTACTTTGAGAGTTTAAAGAGCCATTGTCCACAATCCCAATAGGCAGAAATAGTGCCTTAGAACAAAATAAGTCACAGGGGCCGTAGTCAAAAGGTAAAAGGGGGTAATAAGATCATACTATCTTCATTGAGGAGACAGCTGACTCACTTGTCTGCAGTGAGAGACAGATTATAAATGCATCTACCCTAGGGCTTACTGGTTCACGACATCTGCATCATTGTTGACCGTTGGTGTCTGTGTTGAAGGGTAACTAGACTCCTGGGTCAGAATGTGTCTGGTTCACGAAATTTTACACTTTCTCTCTTTCATTCTTTTCCATAGAGGCCGCAAACGTTTTGTGAGCGAGGGAGATGGAGGACTCATCAAAGAGTGACAAAATTGGTCGGATTATCCAGTGAACTGTCCAATGAACTGGGGAAGCAGGGTTCATCTATACTAATCGCTGTTGTGAAATATATCCAAAATAAAACGTACTGCTTCCATTCTGCTTGAATGTTCTGTTTAAAAAAAAAAAAATCCAGATTTTGTTTAAAAACCTGTACAGAATCTGATAAAACATATTTTTATCTTACCCATTTGCTTTTAATTTTGTATCATAACCTTTTGTGTGGAACCATATCGAATGCCTTAGGAAAATCCAACTCTATAACATCTACTGGATCATCATGCTCTAGTTTCTATTAATTTCTTCATAGAGCACAATTAAGTTAGTTTAGCATGATCTGTCTCTCGTAAAACCATGCTGATTCCTACTATGAATTGCTGAATTAACCCTTAAAAAAACTGCAAAGGAACACTGTACGGTTAGGGTTTGAGTGGGCAAGGAGGAACAAAGTGGATTGCTCAGATTGATTGAAAGCAGACTCTTACATATTTAAAAAAATAACCTCCTTTGTAAAAATAAAAAATTTAAAAAAATAAAAAATGTATTATAAATCGCCCTTGCATTAGAAAATTAGTTACTGCAGCACTGGTGGGCGGTAAGGACATTTTACCCTCAAAAGAGATACAAAAGTGGGCGGTAGGCATTAAAAGGTTGATTACCCCTGATCTAAGGTATTAAACTTGGGGTATTTTGACACATTTCATGCAACCATTTTACCACCAATCTAGGCCAAATTAAAAAATAATAATTGGTGATTTTTTTGACACACATAGCAATTTAAGAATACATGTACAGACAACTTTGAGGGTTACTGCCAAAGAACACCCCAATATGTGTTCAGCGACATCTCCCGAGTACAGTGATACCTCCCATTTGTATGTATGTTGGGTTCGCTGGGGGCAAAAATACCTTATTTGGAGGGTGCACATTCCAGTTTCCCAACTTGGAATTTTCACAGCTGTTTTGTAATATTGTTAAGCGAGCAAAGCAGGAAGGGGAATTGGATGTACTTGTCCATCTAGAGACAAATGACTTGGCTTGCAATGAGGTTTCAGAGGTTAAGGAAGTTTTTAGTGTTTTTGCCAATGATATACGGCAGGTTGCTTCCACACTGTCATTTTCTGAAGTTCTGCCTGTGCATAACACTCAGAACGACAGGCGGATGCGTATTAGGGACTTTAATTTGTGGCTTGGTGAATGGTGTCGGGAGCAAGGATTTGGCCTTATTTCTCATGGTAGCTCTGTTTGGAATGGAGATAAGCTGTACAAAAAAGATGGTTTGCATCTTTCTCAAAAGGGAACAAATGTTCTCAGTGAGCAGTTCAGAGGTTTTGCTAGGATGTATTTAAACTAGGAGTGGGCTTAGAGTCATGTCTACAAATGCTCGCAGTTTAGGGAATAAGATCCATGAACTTGTGGCAATAATGGCAACTGATAGTGTAGATTTAGTCGCTGTTACTGAGACATGGTATAATGAGAAAAATGACTGGGACATAGCAATACCAGGGTACTCTTTATATAGGAAAGATAGGGAAGGCAAGAAAGGGGGAGGGGTGGCCCTGAATGTGAAGGATAGCATAAAATCTAGCCTAATAAAAGTTAGTGAAGCAAACAAAGAGTCCGTTTGGGTTACATTAGAATTTGGTAATCACACAGTAACTTGTGTAGGTGTGATTTATAGGCCCCCAGGACAAATAGAAGAGTTATATAATCTACTAGTTGAGGAAATGGCTAAAATGACAATTGTGACGAAAGCAACTTCGCCACTGGTTTTTGGAGAGGACTAATGGCCAGCCTTTTACCTTGTGACTATGGCCCCTGCAATAGAACTGGTTAATATACTTTAAACAGGCTCTGTTCGTGCAATTGGTACTATATGGTTCGTTTACCAAACAACCGCACGAACAGAGACCACCCTGGAGCTTGTTAATACCTATTAACAACTTGGAACATTTCTCACTGCAGTGTTCTTATTGTTCGTCTGGGTGGCCGCAATTCCTATGAACAACCACGAGGTGGTGGCCCTCTTGTTTGCATGAATGCAGGCAGCAGTGTTTGGGCATGAATCTCCTGGAACTAAAATCGGATACAGAAACTCCCGAACACCGCTGGACTTCCATCATCACCTGCGTTCGTTTCTATTCAGCTTAGAAGGGCACTGTTAGGTGAGATCATTCATCTGGATGAAGGGAACAAGCTCCAAGGTAAGATTATTGACTCCGTTCGGCAGTGTGTTTGTATGTTTGTTCGTTTGCAAA